CCAATAAAATTTCAGATACTATCTACTAATGAAGGAGAAAGCATGAGAGATATGAAAAATTCAAAAAATAATGATAGATTTCCCTTAGCTAATGAAGTATATTTCTTCAAGACCGACAAGAAACCAAGAAGCTACACAACTAGATGTATATGATAGAATCTTCACAGAATATGGATAAGTTCTATCATCTTGAGACTAAACGGTATTACTTTAAAAATATCTCATTGTTTATTACGTCTTCTTCATGATAAGAACATGTTACGCCTCATAAGATGCTCGTCCCATAAATAAATCTCAATTACTATCGAATGCCATAGCTGTGTCGTGCCATCAAAAGTTCACATAAGGTTGTTTTTAAATGAAAGCCAAACTATCAGAAAGCATGATGTATTTCACCATTAGCATCGTTTTCCCTAATGTATTCAGCATTTTCGGTACTTCTTCCACAACCTGTACGAGATTCAGCACTTTCCTCTTCATCGAACGATCTCATACTCAACTGATGAATACAATTCAGCCAAGGGAAGCCGTGTTATTAATGATTCATCAACCAATAAGACAACAGACCTAACCCCAATCTAACGGCGTTGCCCATTTTTTCTCATTCCTAACGATCGATACATGTATTAGCCGCTGCATATTTGAAGAGATAAAATTATTCTGTTATTATTACGAATTTTTAAAGTAAATATTTTGGCAACGCGTTCCAACTATAATTCTATACTCACGACGGTATATACATATAAATCAGTTTTTATCGAGATTCTGTATCATATTCAGCTGTCATTATCTCTCAACTATGAGTTTGACAATGAAAAACAATTCGTTTATTGATTCTACTGCAACTTCATCTTAATGATTTTACCAACGTTTAAGAAATTCACCGTCATGCCGCAGAGGACAAGTACATATCAATTTATTTTGAAATATATCATATATCATATTCATGTAGCAACCTCGCTCAAATGTGGATTCGATAGCGAAAAACTTCGATCTGTTAACTCTAACAGATTATCATAGTAGTTTCTTGACAAACGCTTAGAAAATTGAAACTCATAATCAATGGAGAATAATAGATATCATGTCGTTATTAATAAAATGATCGATCAAATTCATATACCATAATCTCTGGTTTAGGAGTTTGAGGGGGGAAGAAACATGGTTTGTTAATTTTTACTGCAACATCATGATGATGGATTTAATAACGTTCATTTAATTGAAACTCATCACTGAAACAAGATATCCATTTCAATCGTTAGTGAGTGAGATTGTCTATCTTACGCATAACCCATTGACTGTCGACGATGAGTTTCATCGGAAGACAAAGTTCTTGGTTTTTCCTGTTCGAATATTGTCGTAGTGTTTTCAGCAACTCATTGAAACGTAAAAATCATGGCTGAATATTGCAGCAAATGTTAGATCCAATATAAAATGACGTAGCATATTGTGTAGGTAAATGATTTGGATTTTTTAATCTCAACAGTAAAACAATGTGAACGTATCGTTCGATTGCAAAACTCTGTAGTAAAATGTCTCTTTTTTGCTACGGGTTTTTTGGAGAACGAAATTTTTTTTTCGCTAATCTTATTTGCACACGATGTTTTTCGATGTCAGGAATCATGAACCTTTTTGAAACCTGATACTAAACGTTTTTTCTACATATAATTCAGTTGTGATGTATACGATGTGTGTAAAGCATCAACTCCACAATCCCTCCATAGAAAAAAATTCAGAAAAAGGAGCGATTAAGAGCGCACTCGCAATCAAAATAGAACTTAGATTATTGATGATAAGAGTACCTCAAAACGCTTAAAAAGAATCGCATTCACACAGTTTTAGAACATCTCTCTTTCATCTAATGCAAACATGTTCATAATCGAATGGAATTCTTTTCTTACTATATCGAGACGCATGCAGCCAAAACAATCTGAAGAAATTTTTCTATGTTCTGATATGAATTTATGTGCTTTCCTGTTCCATCATACAAAAAGATAGCCTTTGGCTACTTAAAACGATTATCTTCCAAGAGAGTTATTATCGTAACTTTTTTCTTTTTCTGTGTAACTCACATGTACTTTGAAAGAAAATGAAGAAAGTGATTCGTGTTCTGCATGGGTACGATTTTTTGCCCTCGGTTTCGCAACGACACTTTTTTTTACACCTGAAAATGACAGGTGCCCAACCCGAAGCTAATCAAGATATGATAGATACTTTCATGGTCATAGTACATCTTTCAAACTTTTGCTTTATGTAAAAAAAACGTATACTGTTTCGTTTGGGTGTGAATGTGGGTGTTAATATCCTCGTCATCAAGACTAATACATCCACACCCTCTGAAGAGGCTAAGAAAGTCTCTAAAAACCACTGCTCTTAAACAGAATGTGCGAACCTGAAAAATTGAAAAATTGAATTTGAGGATCAATTGAACCGACCTAGCGACGTACTGCTTTTATTCAAAAAGTATTCGAAGATACGTCATAGTTTCAATATTTAGGATTATATATAATATTGAAATCTCGGCTAGTGACAACGCAAATATCATCCTCATTTCTTGAATTTTCAATATCACGAACCAAAATTTGCTATAATAGAAGTAAATGGTTTCTAATATACAACAACAGAAAATATAAAAGTAGGCGTATGAAATTTCATTTTTTCGATTTATCTGTTCTTATATGTCTAAAGTTTTCAGTATCTCTAATAAATTCTGTCATTTTCTATCTATCATTATATTGATTATGTGCATATCAATGTATCTATTCTATGATAACATGGAAGATCTTATAGTTCTTAACGAATTTCTAGGAGACTGGATAGAAGGCATCATATCAACTATCTTTTATTCTAAAAGTTATAGGTACAGATATTTTCATGGAGACTATTCTGAAACTAACTTTGAAGAATGTAAAACTGAATTTTAATGCATATTTTATATGATATTTCTACAATTTACTTACCTGTCAACAGAAGATATCTAGTTCGGATGTACATAAGAGATTGTTCTGATGAACATGAAAGAAAGTTTTTTTTATTATTATTTTCAAACTACTCTGTTCTATTAAAATAATATCTTTTAAGAAGAATAAAAATGTATTTATTGATTAATAAATCAATCATTATAAATTCTAGATTAATAATATAGCAGATAGATACGGATGAGTTCTTATTTGTATATTTATTAAAATAAATATTATTTTCTTCTAAGTTCCATAACTAATGGAAGATGATCAGATGATTTTTCATCATTCATAGTTCGATAACTTTTCACTTCGAATATTTCCATTGCTTTTGCATTCAGAAATATATAATCAATCGTTTCCGTAGGATGGTCAGCTGGATAAGTCGTTGGACATTTATCACATGGTAGTTGAAGGCCTCCATCTGTTAATAGAAGTTCAACTGTTCGACTAGTTGGCGAATCATTAAAATCACCAGCTAAAATAAAAGGTTCATTGTCGGGTACGATTCGTCGGTACAATTCAATAACTTCTTTCGTTTGTGCTTCTCGCAAACTGTTGACTTCATGTTCAAGATGTGTAACACCAAAATAGAGTCGATATTCATCAGTTATTTTCATAGAAATAATTCCAAGTGATCGTGTTTCACCTTGACATCGACCATCCAGATGAAACAATTGAACTGTATCAAAAGCATATCGAGATAGAATGGCATCTCCATATTGTCCACCCGAAAAATCCATCGAATTAACAAATACCGAATGAGACAAACCAGTAAGACGTGCAAGTTCATATGATTGATCAATTTCAGTGCCTGATCGATATGTAAATTTATCAACTTCTTGCAAAGCGATTAGATCAGGCTGCACAGTTTGGATTGTACGTGCTACATCGATACTTCCATGTTGTGATCCTTTACAGCATGCTATGTTGAATGTCATTATTTTGAGACTCGTCATTTTACTTCTTATATGGACTCTATAAGATAATATTATTGAAATATGAAGAAATCTTTATTTATATGAATGAAATAAATTCTGTTTTATTCTTTGAGACTTAACTTTATGGACAGGAATGCTCTCATCCCTTAAAATTTCTTCTCAAAACATGAGCATTTTCACGCTGTTTAAAACATCCTCTTATACTTAATTTTTAGAGTAATACTTACTCGCTCTATGCGAATATATTGTTGGACTTAGTTTGATACGAATAGAAGGCTAGAAAGTCGATTAAATTTTTAGGATTTTACAATATATTGACGTATTCTATATAGCATTAGCTGAGTCACTTTCAATTAATGACGTGGCAATAACACTAAATCGTAATGAAAATTTGAAATATAGTATAATTGATGAAGTAAGACCTGTTTTTTTAAAATACTAAAGAAATGCATTGCCTAACTACAGTATATGGATATGGATATACCTATTTATTTATGTACACAACGTTTATAATCATCGCGAGCGAAAGCAATGAAGTGACGAAAGAAAAAGTTGAAAGCACAAGTTACACACATGTCACCGATAGTTAACACACTGTTGATTTTTTTTTCGTTCTTATTGCTATCAAGAACAGCTATAGTTTGCATGCCTCTTCATGATGCCGCACTCTAACCGATGAAAGAGAACTATCACGACCAATAGGAAGAATAATTTTGCAATCATTCTCAGCAATGATGTTGAGGAAAAAAACGATAGAGAGACAACATAGGAAAGAAAAACGAAGTAACGATATCACAGAATATATGTGAAATCTATTAACAGAACCGTTGGTGGTTACAGAAGGGATAGAGAGTAGTTTTTTTCTCATCATCAAATGTGTGTCTTAATGTTTTCAGTGTTTTTGATACATTCGAATGTTAAAGTGTGGGTGTCTGTGTGAGTGTGCGTGTACGTGTATCTATTCATGAAACGCATACCCACATCCACACTCTTGCATTTTTTCTCTTGTGACATTAATTTGATGAATATTTATTCATGGAGTCCATTGGAAAAAACATTGTGAAATATAAGACATAATCGAGTAAAAAGCTAGAATTGACTTTGTAACACGCATATTGATCTGTTTATCTATATAAGTTAATGGTTCTCGTACTTTCTTTACAATGGTAGCTGAGGATCATACTATACGTTCTAAAATATTTGTTCTTTTTTTTTAATAAAGCGAGGAAAAAACAGACAATCATGTTGATATACATTTAATATAATCAGAACTATATTTGCGATAAATGATGTGGGTGTGAATGGATCTTGTTTTCTTCGACAGTCACATCCATACTCACACCCAAATCCACATTCATGCATTTTTCGAGCAATCTTCAATCGTTTATAGCCAAGCGACGAATACACGAAAGTAAGATAACCGTATGATGTTAGGTCATACCATGTAGTTCGAACATTTGTTCAATAGAAACCTTACATTTAATGTAATTTACACATTGTGATCGATTTGTCACATTTCCTCCAGATATTGAAAAAAAAAGGATATGAGAGGACAATGTAGTAGGCATCATGTGTGAAGACAATTACTCAAGCTGATACTACAAGTAAGTGTGGGTGTGTAATCAACTACGTTGTGTCATTTCATTAAATTCTAAACTGTTTTCATTTTTCACTTTATCATTTGGCTCAAATAGTTCATAAAGACATCAATTAATGACGTGAGTGTACAAATTCTTTTCAACCACGTACTTTTCTCTATATCAAGGGCAAAATATATTTTAGTGTCTCATTCCTTTAACGCCATTTTGCCGAAAAACATAACTTATTAGAGACCGTCTTTAGATATACAATAACAAATCAGTTTTTTTTTGACGAAACCACTCGTTATTTTGAGAGTATTATGACTAGATCCAAATGTTTGTCACTATTCATTGATCAAATCACTCTAAACTGTTGATAATATTATGAATAATAGATAGACAATGTGATCTGCATGAGTATAACTCCATTCTTCGAAAAATTGCTATATACGTATCTATGATTATTGATAGCATATTCAGTTCAATGAAAATGCAAAAAAAGATTTTATACGACAAAAAATTTCATGCTTCAATAAGAATTGTTTCAATATTTCCTAAAAATAATCCTTGAAATTGTTCTAGATTAAGATACGGTACATTGAATAATAAATAATATTTAATATTTGATTGTATAACAGTAAAACAACAGATACTCCTTAGTAAATGTTGTTTATTTATTATCTACCTTTGAAAAACTTGTTTGTTATTCACATTTTAGTTCTAATCTTATGGGATGGAGAATTTAATTCTCGACAAAACCGCTGAGTTTGTTTTTTGGAGAGACCTCTCATGCAACAATAAAATTTATGAAACTGTCAAACTATGAATTACTATTTTTCTAGGGTTAAAAAGGGTTCATGTGAGCGTATCTTCATCGCGACCAATGCTCAAAACTAAATTTTGTACAGTAAAAGATGGAGTTTTTTGCTATACATGCTCATCGCCTTATCATGGCTTTGAATGTTTTGTTTAAGAAAAAGAAGTTCCAAACAAACACCGTAAGGTATTTTTGGATACTTTATGAAAATTTATCTTGTCGCAAGTTAGACTCATCCGATAAAATGCTGATTTTCCTATCATCGAACGCACAAAGAAATTCTGAAGGAAATTGTGCATATTTTCACTTAAACAGTTGAAAAATTTAGATTACTCTGAATTATTCCAAAGCAAAGGTCAAATTCTTCCGGAATCAGTTTTATTTTGGTATTTTGATATTTTCCATTTCGAGTTTTTTTTATCTCTCAATTATTTATTTTAGCACTTTGATAGTAACATCGAAAGATACAGAATGTTATGTAGAACATGGTAGCATATTTAAAATGTTAGCAGATCTGTTTCTGGAATTAATCTATCACCTTTTTTGACTTTGCTATTTTCGTACTTGTACGATAGAATAGATTTTAGTCTCGCTAGCTTATTTCTGATGCAAAACATCTAGTCGAAAAACTGAGTCGAAATTTTAAATAAAATGGGGTATCTATGATGACACATCCGTTACTTTCCTATCTCAGAAAACAATTTACAGTTTTCTAAAAGAATCTTAACATATAAATACTTGTTTGACTTTGTATAATATTTATTGAAAACCAAGTAAATGAGAAAAACGGAATGAATAGGGAACAATGAAAATATTGTTTTTAATAGAAAAAAAGAATAGCAATGTCACCATGTTAAAACAAAAAACAATTTACACTCTTCTTCCAATATGTACTTGATGTCCAATACCAATAATCATGCATAATTTATATTGTAATTTCGGTAATGAATACAAACATATAAAAGGTAAAAGAAATATTACCCAATAGGCAAGAAAAAACGCAATAAGTTGTGCTTCGACACCTGAATCTGCTGGCCAACCGTAGTGATGAGCAAGAACCATTGCCATGATAGGAAAATTGAAAATAAGATAGAGAGCAGAAATCGATAACAATGGAATACTCATTCTCCAATATCGATGCCACTGAACAGTTTGACCTACATGTCGTTTTTGCATGAGAACACGAAATATAAGAGCAATATTAAAGATAACAATTAACAATGTAGATAAACATCCATGAACCATTATATCCCATAAACCAAATATAGGATGTGAAAGATGACAAGGATATGAACTACAAACAGGTAATGAATAGACAAATACATGTTGACAAGGAGGAAAGAAAATCATTAGAATATAATAGATGATCAAGTAGAGAACGAGTACAGTCATTGGAAGATAATGAATAAGTAGGCGTCTCTTGAAAGTTGATAGCCATTGATCATGAAATATAAGAATATGTCGTTCAATTGAAGTCCAAGCAACAAGTACAGAATTAAAATTATAGAAACCAAGATCTACCAACCACCATATAAGACATATAATTGGCTTTTGTGTCCATACTGTACCTCGTTGAATAAAATCAAGATACAAAGGAATATCGATTATTTGACAGATGAATGCCGAGATAAGTAAAGCAATAATACTATGATTTGCCAAAGATTGTCGTAGAGACCGATCTGTCAACAGATGATAGAGAAGAAAAAGAGAACAGACAACTGCTGGAATATCAAAAAGAAGTAGAAGCCAGAAACGAAGAGAACGAGACCATGAAATTTCAGTATTATGAACTGAAGATAATCCATCATAAGTCAACATGATTTTTTGTACTTCCCTTTAACAAAATCTGCACGAGTCAAAACAAGCTGAATAAGTAATTAAGCCACGTTTCTACACATTGAATTAGCATGCCACTTCTATTTTTGTCTCATTCTTATTCTCTCATCTATAAGCAGAACTTATCAAGATGACGAAGTGCATTCACAATATTTAGAAATGAGAAAAAGAAAGAGAATATCGTCGATGCAATGGATTGATAATAATGAGTATGAGCTTCGACTCAAACTTGTTCTTTTGCATACCAATGAAATGAAAGACAGCTTCCTCAACGGAAATCAAACAGTCGATAATAAACAACACTGATGAAGATTTGTTTTCTCTGATTCCCATCGGATAAATTAGATTTTCTCTTGTTTTTTTTTTATTATTTACAATGATGATTGCAATGTAAATAAAGGGACATTTTACGATAGCATGAGTCTATGATGTCACAATAAAAGAAATTGATGATGATGTGTTAACTGCTCGAACAAACATCAAGCAATATGACTAAAAGAATGGTTATTTCATCATGATTGTTCGTATCTTCTTCATATAACTAGTGCAATTAATATTAGATAGCCTTTAATTCCAAGATATCCTCACGTAGATGTCACACGTACGTGTTCGTGTGTCGTGTTGTAGTAGATCATTATGATTTTGTATTCATCGTTACCTATTTTGTAATTGATTTGAATCAAAGATTGTATTTAAGAGATTCATTTTTAAATGATTACTGTTGTATAATTGATGCAATTATCTTCTTTTTGTGTAAATTACATAAGAAAATCTTAAAATTACTTTGTACTTTTTTTTGTCCGTAAAGAACAACAAATGATAAGAATATCAAGGAAATACCTATTTTTTCATACGCTAGAGTAGAAGCACTGAACAAGATATCAATTATATTTCCTCTGATAAGTTAATGAGTGAAGGATAATTTGCAAACAAATAATAGATATACTAGTTTTTTCAACACAAAGAACGATTATTAATCTTACGGTTCCTCTGTATGTTTAACAAATACTATTTTAATGGTGAATTTCGTGTGTTATATTTCTTTTTGATTGCAACGAAAAAATTTCTTTTTTATTTGAGATTTATTCTTTTAATATGTTTAATAAGCGATCGATAGTTAGCATAAAAAAATGTAACACTATAGGAACTGACAACATTTTTCGATCGATCCAATCGAACGTCCTGTACACAGGAAATAATATCTTGTTCAGACAGCTTTAAACGAAGCCATTGGCGTGTTTCACGAAAAACTGAACTGTAAAATTCGTTTTTCTGATTATACCTTTGACAGTTTTATTAGTTTTCTGTTAAACGATTAAATTTGAAATCTAACTTATAAAGACTTGATGAAGGAGAGTACACATAGAAAATCAATCATTTTAAAAAGTTTGAATCAAAATTTATTTTATTTTGAGAAACATTATTACAATTCATAGAGAGCATGAGTTTTTCTTCAATAAAGAATCTTTGATCTTAAAGCATCTGCTGCGATGTGTAGTGAAGGTGAGCTTGTAGCCTTCAATAGTAATTATCAAATATTATATGAGATAAAATTATATGTATATAATAGCTGGTCTTCAAAGTAATTTAAGTTTTGAAATAAATTATTATTATCTGTTGGATCTCGAACAATTTTTGTGAAAAAAGAACTAAGAGTGTAGGCGTGGGAGGCACATACATCCATTCGCACTCGCACTTTTCCAAGTTCGATGAAAAAACTACTATCGATTTCAAATTTCTTAGTAAACTGTAGCTTTAGCAGAATTACCCGTGCTTGTCATATAGATTCTTGTAAGAATCGATTCTGCTTGTATCTATAAGCTTTTGTTTAAAAATTGAGATGTATACTCTCTTTTTTCTTTTTACAAAGAACTTCTTAACACTTCTGTACGTATGTAGAATGGCATGCTAATAATACTGTTCGATTTCTTAATGAATATGAAACACTGTTATGGGTTAAATCTTGACCATGAATAGATGAAGAAATGCAGTTGATTCAATTTCTTTATTGGATGCTTCGACATGTTTATTCTATTACCTTTAATAAGCTTACAATCAGATTATGCTGATGGCGTATGAACTACGTTCTCACATAAATTCGATCATGAAAACAATCATTATTCTTTGACTCACTTTTTGAGTGAATAATGCAAAGCTTCATATGTCATTATTTCTTATAATAAAACTTGAAATTCTTACTATGCAAAACATGAGAAAGTATCTAGCAATATCAAGAAATTTCAAGAATTACCAAAACGACAAAACATTCCAACAGCTATTGTAAAAAGCCCATGAGTTATTATAATAATCTAGATTTTACTTTCAGCGAACGATGTGCGTTGTGGAAAATCGGAGAAAATATTTATCATTTTGAGAAATCTTATTTCTTAAATACATTCCAACGATCATCGAGTCCTAAAGAATGGATTTGGGATGTGTAAGCTCGAGCTATATTTTTTTTTCATTTATGCGCAAAACCTTCTATAGAACAAAATAGAAGATGCGTGAAAATGATTCATCTTTGTCAGTCCTAAATAATTGATATTAAAAAGAGTAAACCACGTTCGTGTGTCTTTCATCTCTTCATTCTATAGAAACCATTGCGTACGCATTGATAAGTTATATATATAGATCATTTTATTATTGTTTGTTTGTGAATTTACTAAAAATCACTGAATATAAGGATCTAAATATCCAATAAAGAAACTGAATCAGCGATATTATTTCACTTACTCAAATACATCAGATAATCCAGATACATATAGTTACTCATATGTATATACAGTATCCTGTATTAAAGGATGAGAATCTAAATCGACAATTTTCGTAATAAGGAAAAATGACTCTTTTAATTATTTATTTGTTTTTTTCCACATCATATTTCAGTATTAAAGGACAATTCAAAAAGAATGGAAGCACGTAGCAACTCCAATTGACTCACTCAAATTTTCGTACGAAAAACTAGTCAGATCTATGGAAAAGACTCTACTAATTCGTTTGGTAACTTTTTGAAGTGAAATGAAAGGAGAAATATTCAAGCTTTTACCAAAAAAAACAAGAAACTGTCGAACTTCCTATAACTTGCATTAGTACTAAATTCACAAAGTAATGTAAAGCAGCTACTATTAGAAGGTGTGAAATTTCGGAAAATCTAAATATAGATGAACTACAACGGGTTATTAAAGCGACGCAATAGTCTTTTACATTCTAACAAAAAAATCACCTCTGCAATGTTTTATCCAACAAACCATAAAATAAAAAAACTGACAAAGATAATAACTTACAGGTCAAACAAATACGTATCTTTTCACCATTGAATCTTCATCATACGTTTACTTATCATAAAAGAGCCGATGATATAGTACTGATTCATTTAACTGCACCTTTGAGCAGATTTTGGTATCTACCAACTGTTTTGCTTCTCCTTCTTTGGACCATAGGCTCCTAATCTGGAAAAAAGCGTTTATTTTCGATTATTAAAACATATTAAGATGTATGTGGAGCGTTTCAACTTTTTTTCCTCGAAAAGAACAATGAAATGTTTCTGATGGTTTTTCTCTCTTTCTCAATTTTCACTATTCAACATGTCTCGCAACGCTCTCGTTACTGGTGCTGCGCAAGGAATTGGGCATGCCATCGCCCTCCGTCTTGCTAGAGATGGTCTCAATGTTGCTGTGAATGATATGGAAGCCAGCTCTTCAAGTCTCAACAATGAATCGAAAAAATAGGTCGAAAATCCATGGCTATTACTGCTGATGTTTCTATTGATAAAGCGGTCGAAACAATGATGCAGAATGCTGCAAAGGGACTGGACAGTTTAGACGTATTTATCACTTTTTCTCAGTTGTTTCATCTTTGTTCTAGCTACTAATACAGGTCGTAGTCACTAATGCAGGCATTGCTCAAGTGAAATCGATTCTTGATATTACTACAGAAGATTGGAACATGATGTTTGCAGTCAATCTGCGGGGTGTGTTTCTTTGCTACAAAGAGGCTGCTAAAGTCATGATTGCACAAGGCAAAGGAGGCAAAATCATTGGTGCCTGCAGTATTGCCGGATATAGATCAAGTCCAATGCTGAGTCATTATAGTGCCAGTAAATAGGGTGTGCGTGGCCTTACACAAGCCGCTGCCATGGAATGCGCCAAACACAAAATTGCAGTGAACGCCTACTGTCCAGGTATGTTTTATACCGTTTTTTCTAAAATACGAATCTAATAAATAACACAGGAATTGTCGGAACTGCAAGGAAAGAAAAAAGGAGAGATCATCAAGTATTACTCAGACAACATTATACCTCTTGGCCGTACAAGTCGACCTGAAGACGTTGCAAGCTTTGTGTCATATTTGGCTAGCAAAGACTCTGATTATATGACTGGGCAGAGTGTTATCATTGATAGAGGGATCAGGTTTTCTTGATGTGAAGTTATATCAGTTTCAGAACGAGAACATTAGTCATGCACATCTTGTATCAGAAGTTTTCATTATACTAACATCATCGAATATCTCTGAAAAATACAGCATATTCAGTCTGCTGTCTCACATATCAAAGCTCTGCGCACTCGTTATTTTTTAATTTGGTTGTAGAGTTATTTTTCTCGATCTTCCTATGCTTACTTTTTCGAGCGTTTACTGCTGTAAATGTGTTGAAGAACTATACTCCAACAAATGTTTTTTTTTTTTTGAGATGTCGTGAACAAAGGTAAGTAAAGCAAGAGCTCAAAATTGATATAGAATTCATGAGTGATGTTATCTTGCCATTGGCGTCTAAGCGAAAACGCAAAATCGATTAGGTATGTTATTTCTAATGTTTTTTCTAGCGTAGTTAGATCAGAATCTCATACAAAATTAGCCTTGAGTTCGTTGCATTAATTTTTATTCCTATCTCACGATTTCACATCTTCACCCAAATTCGAGTCATGGCGATAATGTTATCGATGAGAGCGACAATCTTGATCAAACGAAATTCATTGATGATAATTCAGATGAAAAAAGGTCACGATAATGAGAAAGATGCTCAATCGTCTGATTTAGTTGCAAGAATAGTCGGACAAAAACAAAAGTAACATTTTGAATAGTATCAAAGTAGTATTCGTCAAAAAAAATGCTCGAAGACGAATTTCTCTTTTACTCGAACAACGAAATACGATCACACACGTGTGTAGGAGAAAGAAGACGACACAACATCTAACCCATCACGCAACGATGGACGAATTGGATACATTAGCTGATTGTAATGAATCGTCCCATGGCATACACAGGCACTAAAAATTAATCATATACATAATAAATACACATGTTATTCGAATCGTAATATCCTACCAAAATTACACCGGATTCAGTTGCAGTTCTCGCTAACAAATGTAGCTGAAGATTTTTAGTTTATCTACAACAAGGATTGTCTCAATCTGTAACAATTTGACGATTTAAAGCCAACTATATACAAAAAATTATAGGTTCAGTTTTACTCAAAAGTGTTCATAAATCTCATTTTTCATGAAACAAATGATTTCATCTCTAATAATAAATCAAAGATCGAGTTACTTTCACTTTCAAACATTCGAATTTCGAATGAATATTTTTCTTTGACAAGCTGATAGTAGCATCATTTTCATAGCGTAATATCAAAAGAAAACAACAAATGATGAGTTTCGGATGCGGGTTTTGCTGTGACTGAAGAAAAGATATTCAATCACACTTAACTTCAGCATAGATTTTTCGAAGCAACTGTCGAAAATCGTCTGATTGCTTCTTGCAAAAGACTAGAGTCGCTAGTCCAAAATGAATAATTCTAAAAAGATGGAGCTTTTTAATAGTCTGATAGTCTCCATTGATCTTGCCATTCTAGCGTGACATTGGTGTCTGAATAGAATGTATATGGAAGCCACACATAGCTAGCGTTTAATAAGGTAGGATAATCCCAACGATCACCCATATAAATATAGAATACGGTTCCAGGTTGTTTAGTGGATGGAAATGGAAGAACGAAAGTCGACTGACTATTGTAACTTGTAACGGAGTGCGTTGGATTGCCCAATGAAATCCATTTGGCATCTTGTAAGCTGTCTGCATTGCTGATGAAAAGTTCAGCTGGATTCGGCATCCAACCAGTAAGATGACTTGTCATCATATAATAATTATTGTTTCGATGAAATATTGCGTGTCCCTCTCGTGGCTCATCAATAGTACTGGTTATACCAGTTGTATTAAGATAGTCATCAGTAAGTCGACTAATACCAACATACTCATTGTTGCACGAACGAACTAAGTATGCACCGTTGACTGAATCGTTGCGCTTGTCTTCGTAGAGATTCATGTCTAATGATGGAATGCCATCTGGTTGAAATGCACGTATGAATGTGAATACACCGTTAGGAATGGACGACGTTGCGACACCAACATATCGATAAGTATAGCTACTACTATCTAAGTGAAACCACATGACGAAACGTTCGGTAATGGAATTCCAGAGAACTTTCGGTCGTTCGATGACGTACGGTCCTGTATGACTCTCGATGAAGACTTGCTTTTGTCCTAGTACTTGACCAATGTTTGTCCAGGTGAGAAGATCGGTCGAATGGTAGCAATTAATCCCATGATCAGATAGATTCGCTGTTTTTAAAGATTCACCATACCACCAATAAGAATTATCGTGAGGATCAATGAGAATACCAGTCGCATGTGCCTGAATTGATTGACCGTCAGTATCGTTCCATACAACACCACTCTTTATATAGGTAGAAGCAAAAATATAAGAACTCGATGCCTCATGGTTCCAAAGCACGGTTATAATGAGTGTCCAAACAATGTTAGTTGTCATGAGGATCTTTTATAAAGGCATGAGTATGAATAAAAGGTAGAAACAATGATAAAGACTTAAGCTGACTTGGTTGACTCAATTTGAATTTTATCATAGGCAATATGGAACAATTGCCACCTGTGTCAACTATGCAAGACGCTTTATTGTTTTAACGGGTTTGCTCGCTAGATGTGAATCTCAAATAATAAAGAAATCAGATAAGAAACATGTATAAGAAACAGCTGGTTGAAACACACGAACAGAGAGGCAACTACTCTGCCTGTAGTATGTAAGCTAAGTGTATGAGAGTTGTTATAGATCATCAGTGGAAAATTTAGAGTCGCTGCTGCGGTATTTTTCTCCAATAGGATTCTATTGAAACAGTCTCTTCGGTTGTTCTTCATTCACAAACATGCTGATGCATAAGATGATTCTCTGTCAATGAACTGTTGTGTTTACGCAAAAGTGAAGAGAGCGTATTTCTAGAGAATACACTAATCTTCTATCGAAGGACTGTGACCGTGTCTTCTCATTTGCAAACATGAACTCGAAATTGAAAATTTTTTCAATCTAAATTATTCTAATAGAACACAGTCTTAAGTTTCAAATTTTCGTTGTTTGAATTTTTAAAAATTTCCTAAGATCAATTTTAACGAAACTTAGGCTATGGATGTAGATCTCAGTGTAAGTGCTTCACTCAGATCCACACACTCACAGCATCATTCACATCCACACTCTTACCCAAGAGAAAAAGCTGACAACCAACATCAATCAATTTGTACTAGTCTATCATAGAAAGCTTTCTTCGGTGTTCTTAGTTTTTTTTTAATTTCAAAGCTGCTTGGTACAAATGCTTCGTCTAAAATTTTGTTGCATGTATATAATGATGCAGAATTTTTGATAGAGAATTTTGACGTGTTCTTGAAATTAAATGAATGATCATCTTTTAAAGTTGGCGCTAACGAAGAAAACTCAATAGAAAGGTCAAATGAATTGTTTTGTACAGCTTGAAGTTTTCTATCTTTTGGTATATAAATAAGACCCTATCTTTGTTTTTGTATTCACAAGGCTCTCATTTTAGAAACACGATGCGAGTTCGTATTCTTAGAAATCTAGGCATACAGGGTAACTTACTATAAATTGAAAGAAAACCTATGTCTAAATCATGAAGCTACAAAGTGGGTTTGTCTGACTCTGTTCCGGCTTCAACACGATTCACACACATCCACACTTGTTACCTTGATACAAAAACCTATACCTGTAGACATCCATATGTCTACACTAAGATCTACGCCCTAGAGCAATTGTCACAACCACGTCCACATCCTGTATCATCAGCAAACTCATATTCGACAGTTCAAGTTGTATATTTTTTATCAAACATTGTTCCGCTATCATGGAAAGTCCAATTTCCCTGTGTTTTACACTATGAACATGATGTCGAAGCCCTCTAAATTATACCTTTCGAACAGTCAAACGTAGAGTTTAGAGTGTTGAATTTCTTTTTGTAAACCTTTTTTTGGTAATAACATATTTAACAAGTTTCGTATAGTTCATATGCTTTTGACAACAATGTATCGTACATTTCTTTCATAAAAAACTTAAAGCATCCATTATTCTACATCTTGCAATACACGCTGATTAAAAGGAAAGATCAATCTTGCACTTGATCGTATCTTAAGAGCTGTTTTTTTTGACTGGAATGATATTCAAGAGAATAATAAAAAAAAACGCAAACGATTACTGTGGTATTTTTTTATCTCTCACACATTGAAAATACCATGTGCTTCGCCTTGAAAGAATCATTTTCTTTGTTCCTTATCATTTTTTCGGTTGTTCTCTTTGCCGCCGCAAACTCCAAATGACAAAGTTCGTTTAACAAAAATATCGAACCATTCTCTTCTATGTACGATGTGTCAATATTTATCTTAATATCATTGCCATTGTCGTTACTTCGTCGTCTATCTAACTCAAATTCAACTTCATCAATATATCAGGGGTCGCAGCGGCATGTGTTCCAAAATCAGGAAAGCAGACAGGAAATTTTTTTTAAAAAATCAGGAATTTTTATAAAAATCAGGAATTATAAACTTTGCTCTAATATTACTTCTTTTGGGATCAAATCTGCGTAAGAGTAGGTGCGACAGTCACGGCTAGTTACAATTAAAACGTTGGTCGCTGAAGTAAGCACTAAGACTTGTTGAAAACAGAATCAGTTGTGTAGGAACTCATTCTTTTATTCAGATACACATACTTTTCATCCTTTATTGTTTACTTTTTGTTTCTTCCACTGTCATGATTTTATTCTAATTTCTTATTCTCTCCCTACATATAAAACAATCATGTTATAGCGATTCAGTTTCGAAAATGTACTCCCTCAATTAAACATTTTCAAACGTCGAAAAATAGTGTTTTGCTCAAAAAGGTTGCAAAAATTAGAGAATAACGATAGAATATGTTCTGTGCGGCTTAAGAAAGGTAAAATTACCAGTTCGTTTTTATGCATTGTGTGTCGTACAGATGATCTCAGTGGTGCTAACGGAGGATGAACTGGTATAAAAAGACATTTTGATCGACCAAAATATATTCAATACGTGAAAGATCTGTTTGGTTCTGTTCCACCAATTGCATCAAATGACTAATCATCATCTTTGTCAAACACTAAAAATGCTAATAGTGTATGTACAGCAGCATTATTCACAAATGAAAACGCAATAAGAATTCATTTTTTTTTATTATTCAAAAGGATAAAAGAGCATTAATACATGAAAAGAGGAAGTATTTGGAATCACTATTTTGTATTTTTATGGCATATTCATTTCACCAGCTAGTGTGTAAAAAGATAACAAAATATCAGAACGTGAGAACAAACCTGGCTAAAGTTTTAGATACTGGAATATCACCATAGAGAAAAGGATAAAAGGAAAAAAGTCGTTAGCACAATTCCTTGAGGGATTAAAAATGTGAAACAGGATATAACTGCTGTTTCCAGTTTTCTAAAAACTGTTCTTTCGTATGCATGTTGGGGTACATTTCTGTACCACAGATTACTTTACATTACACAGTTGAAACAGGATAACACTCCTATATATTCTAATCATATGTTAGAAATGCATTATCTCTGATAGTTTCTTGAGGTCTTCTATCATACTCTATGATGACTCTTGCAGCCTGTCTATCACAGTCTGTGATGAGTCCAGAGTCCTGTCTGTCACGGTTCATGATGGGTCACGTGAGTGTGTGTTACGATCTACGAAAGGGAGGAGAAGGGGGAACGATGCGAATCAGGCTTGCCAAGCCTCCTGATTTTCTCTGTTTTCTCCTGATGAAAAAATCTTCTGATTTCAGGAGCTGATTTTTACGATTTTCTCCTGATTTTATCTTTTTCAATTACTCGATGATTAGCAACACGTTGAATCAGTGCAGGTTCTGAAGAAAAAAGAAGTTTTTCGTTTTTTAATGGATTTAACAATAATATCCAAAAAGATAACGAATTTTTTTTTCGTTTTCTCCTGACATGAAATGTTAATCAAACAAAATTATTTTTAGAACACTTGTTTTCAATGTATCATTTACTACTATATGATAGTACTTTTGATTATGGTATTTCTTAATTTGGATTTATCTTTATATACTTTGTATATTCTAATAGGTAGTGACGACATGAATATGGAAATAAACATTATGAAATGAATAATCTTGCTTTATTTATTTCATTTACAAAAGATTTTTTTCCTTCAACGACACAGTAAATCCTGTTGATTTAGAAACCAGCACTTTGTAGACTAGCGAAAGCTTCCATTTTGTCACATAAAAACCAACAAGAGACTCCTGATTTTCAAAGGTAAATCTCCTGATTTTACTCCTGATTTTGAAAAAAATTCTTCTGACGAACTCCTGATTTTCAAAAGAAGAACTACTGATTTTTGAAATTATGATTTGGCATCCCTAATGCAAACTTCTACACCTCAACACTTCAAGTCTTCTTTCAGATTATGTTTCACAAAATACAACGTGCCATGATCAAGTAGATATAGCTCCTATCGGGATAGATCATGAAAAATCAGGAAAAAATCAGGATTTTCGGTCAAAAACAGGAAAAACAGGACATTTTTAAAAAATCAGGAAAAAGTCAGGAAAGTAGTACGGCTGCGAGGCCTGATATATGGATCCAAGTCTTCAAGAATCGGATAAAGACGCATTTGTATCGTATTATCGAAGCTCACTCTGTGATCTACAAGCAACTAACAATTCATTCTTAAGAAAGATTCTTCAGAAGAATTATTCGAGCACATTTTTTACGGATCGATCGATTTCATTCTTGTCGATACATAATACTGCTTCTGGAGACAACGGATATACATCAGTCAATGAGTTTCGAGAGAAAGTTCCGTTGACGACCTATGAAGACTATCGTGATTATATCGATCGAATGGCTTTCGGTGGAGAAAAGAATTTGCTTTCGTCTGAAAATATTGTCTATTTTTCTACAAGTTCTGGAAAGACAGGAAAGATGAAGCTTCTTCCTGTGATTGACGAAACAATGAAAAAAATTGGTGAGTCAACCCGTATTGGAGCTGCTGTCACGCGGAGATCTTTTCCTCATTCATTATTGCCTGCTCCTGAACAACGAACGTTCAACTTGTTAAGTGGCAAGAAGACCGAAATGTTTCAACGATCAAAAGACGGAATACCGATTGGCCCACTTAGTCAATCCTTGTCAGCTTTTTCATCTGTCCCACGGAATCGTTCGTTATTCTCTACTAATAATACCGTGACACTGGATATGATAGAAGGAATCACTGATTTCGAGACAAGTTTATTCGTTCAACTTGTTTTTGCACTAGCAACTCCAAATATTTACTCATACTCAACTCCTCTGCCGCCAGTATTTATTCACACTGTCAAAATGATCCAAAGTTACTTTGAAGAGATGAGTCTTTGCATTTCATCTGCTAATTTCGTTCATAGTTCACTGGTTCAAAACAATATTTCTGATTCAGAATTCATAACGTACTTGAATCGAGCATTGAACGAGGCAACTGTCGAACATGGTGGTGAGACCTATCGATCAGAACGAGCTAAACATATTCGAAACGAATGTCTTAAAAAGAATGTTTCGGGTATTCTTCATCGACTTTGGTCAACTTTGATCTATGCCTCGACCGCAATAGGCAGTACATTTTCTATGTATAAAGAAGAGGTTCAATTGTATTGTGGAGAACAGTTACTTTTAATTAACATGGCAGTATATATAAGCAGTGAAGGACCTCTTGGAGCTATCGCAAGTATACACACCGATGAGTACTTTCTACTACCAACATTGGCATTCTTTGAATTCATCAAAGAAGAAGATATTCAACAAGTACGATGTCTTCCTTAATTTATTAGACAAGTTCCTACGAAGAAAGCGCATAAATAATCATCAGGGATGTTTATAAGTATTGATGACAGGTACGGAAAGACGCACACCTACACCCAATATACGGAACAAACTTGTAGGAATGAATAAACACGAAAGCATTCAAAACATTTGAATTAGTACATTTAGGTTAAAATGTCATCTCTCAGTTTTCCGTCACTTTTATTTTTGAAACACGTTTATTTTCATGCATACAGAAATCCGTCCTTACGAATTAAGTGTACAAGATCACAAAATGAAAATTTGACTTAAAATTTGAATTACAAATATCTTATGATGTTTTTGTTTCAGGCTCAACCAAAAACTCTTCTCATATCAGAGATCGAACCTGGACACAGATATGAGTTGGTCTGTACAACTGAAGCTGGATTAGCTCGATATAGAATGGGAGATATGATCAATTGCACGAGATTTCTCTGTCGAGCTGATGATTTAGTTCCATTACCAGCAGAACCAGTAGATATACCTCGAATTCCCCTTATTTCACTTGCATATCGTGTTGGAAGTCTTTTGGATGCGTTCGGTGAGAAAACAAATGAACAACATGTGATGAGCGCTCTTCAAGCAGTGGTTCGCCAATGGAAACAATACGAAATACCTGTTGATATATGTGACTTTACATCGTATCCGAAATTAGATGTCTTTCCAGCTAAATATGTCATCTTTCTTGAGTTGATCGAGGATGAAGAACGAAAAATTGATGCACAACAACTTCAATTTCTTCAAAATACGCTTAGTTCAGAAGTCGAACAACAGCTTTGCAAAGCAAATGAATATTATAAAGATTATCGAAGTGCATCAAAACTGGATCCTATTGCTTGTATACTTGTTCGCAAAGGAACATTCTCAACTTTCATGCGTAAGGTCTTGTTGAGCGAGCATGTAAGTTCAACGCAAGTCAAACCACATCGATTGTTGAAGAATGAGCATCATATTCAATTCTTTTATGACAATCAAATCGATACGTCATTGTCCTAATCAACAAGAATAACAGACGAGCGAGTTTTCCCATAACATTTGATTTTTGTTCGTTCTTTTTCAATTTGAATAATACTATCTTTAAAATAATAAACATTGCTCTTTTAGAGACATGTCCTCTTACGATGGTCTGCTCTAAAGTTAAAGCATAACTTGAATTTAGAAATTTTGGATTTTTCTATTTAGCATATTTTGCAACGTTGCTGCCTCTTCACTTTGGTTACTCAAAAGCTAAGCCAACAATTTCATTCCATTGTATATAGACTGTGAATAAGAATTTCGAAAATACCGATACTATAGGTTAACGTTTCTTGCAGCAGTATATTCAATGTCTTCTAATATATGATAAACAAAAAATTCTTCACTATATATTGCCAAGTCTGTATGTAGCTTCTTTTTTAAATTATGCATCCTCACATCTTCAACATAGCCACTCAAAAATACTTGAAATTAGTGAAAAGCAAGCAAAATCGTCTCGACTTCTCTGTCTATGTCTTTTTCATCACTATGTGACAATACTTCGTCAACTTTCAGCATAATTAGCTAATTCTGTTAAGTCTAATATTGTTGATTTATCAATCGATTCTGTGGTACACATACATGCAGTAGACTATTTTTCCACATTATATGACTATGCTACGATGATATGAAACAGTCGTTTCGAATCACTGCAAAAATGCACTCGTGCTCAACCATGTAAAACCTTTCATTCTATTATGTCTCAAAAGCTACGAGATATGATGAAAGTAGACTGCATTTGTTCTTTCTTTGCGATGCACAACGCGATTTGTGTTAAGAATATGGCGTGATACGAGCAAAGAGAAACACTCGTAAAATTTCTTCCAACATTCGAGCATAAGTAGCTCATTTTATGCGTCATAAAGCATTTCTTTGAAAAAAGAATATATCATTCGTTTGATTGCATGACATCGACCTTTCTTATCTGAAGATGTTTAATGAAGCTTGTGTAACATTCAAAGCAATATTTTGAAAGAGTCCAACACGGTTTCGTCCGGAAGAAGCTTTCATTATAACAACGAAAAACAAGAACTGATGCACCATGCTATTTAATTTAACTACAGGATTTAAGATCTATAATGTTGTTTACTTCGTCTGCATGTGTGCGTGAAACAATAGCATGAGACCGATGCTGAGTCACTCATGTATACAGAAAAAGACTTTCAGCACTACAGATAATAGATGAGTTTGCTTGCATTGCTGAAGTTACCTAAAATACTCAACTCTTAGTGCCTACCAAAGAGAAACAACTATGAGCTTTTTTAATCTGTGCACGAATGCAACACAAAGATTGCGATAAATTTATGCTTTGAGAAACGTACCGCAGACAATGATTATAGTTGTGAATCATGTGCAGTGATCGAGACAAAGAACCACATTTTTAGATTACTGTCGAATTCTCACATGCGCTACATCTAGATAAACAACGCGCTGATTCCGATTTTCATTGATGTTACTTTTGGTTGGAATAGTTTGACTAACGTCAACCAAATGTGACGATGGAAAAGTAAGCCTGAGTTTAACTTATCCTAACCTGTATTCTAATTGACTTCTATGTGCCATTACCCGCCAAAGCTAAAGTTAATTAATTCACCAACTCGTTCAATAGTAAGTGAGTTTCAAACTCTCAAGTCCATCGCAGCGAGTGGCTTCTGACACTATTGTGAGATCACTCATCCTTGGAAAATGAATGTCAGAGTGTTAACGGGAAATTTATTAGAGCGGAGCGAGCATGATTTGTTCTGGAAAAGCCATGCAACGTGAAACAGAGTTTCAACGCATGTTGTCATTGATGTTCAGCAATGTTTGATCAAAGATAGATGTGATTGTGTGGTTGAGTGAGTAATGGAAAAAGCTCACACTTTTACCCTCAGAGACCTCCACACTCATTTAAATCTTCAAACTCTTTCAACGTTAACCATCTTTCTCATCATAGCTTAGTAATGTTAGACTGATAAACGTCATCATGCTCTATCATCCTGAATTTGATCTCGAAGGTTTCGAAGAATATCTTTTAATTTATGGTCGGGATGGAAAAATGAAGAGTTTGCGTGATTTGATGCTTGACAACTAGTATCTGATATGTAAAACATGTTAATGATATTCATGTGCAAGCTGTAGAAACGTTATCATCTATTATGAAGTAGTCGTAATGTAGATAAGAGAATGAGTCAGTGTCTTTCTTTCTGTGAAGCCTGCGCTCTATAAGTAGTTTTTGTTATCGATAAAAAGCGTTACTTCATTCTCAAGCAATCATTGACAGTGTTGACTTCATATACAGCAATGAACAACATTGAGAGCATGACTGAAAACAATGACGAAGTAATTTGGTTTAAATCGACGAAGCCCAATGAGTATGTTTATTTGTCGAACTTCTTTCCACAAGTCAGTGCAGCAGCTAAAGAGGTTTTTGATGCCAAGTACAAATCACAAAGAATTGAAGACAACGATTATAGTTTTATTATTGATGGAAAACATTATGCAACGGTCGAGCACTACTATCAATCTCAAAAGTACGTTGATGAATGTCCAGAACAGGCAGAAGCAATTCGAACTGCAGAAACAGCTCTTCAAGCCAAAGACATGAGTTCGCAATTCAAATCGATCTATCCTCGTTCAACATCGTTCGATGCTGAAGCTGTTATGTTACGTGGATTGAGAGCAAAGTTTACTCAAAACAAACAGCTGATGGCATTATTGAAAGCAACAGAAAATAAAATCCTCCGAGAAATGCCCGGAAAAGCGGATTCAAAATGGTCGAACGACCAAAATATGCTTGGGCAATTGCTTATGCAAATACGCGACGAATTATGATTTTCAACGCAATGTATAAGAAACGAAGGGCTACAGATAATGTTGGAATGATCATAAACGCGAAGAATTCTTACGTTAAACACTAAACCATGAATAACTGCCGAGAGTTTAATAAATAAAAGTTTTAGTACTCAGCAAGAAGTTGCTTGTCTAATCAATAGGCTTTTTTCACTTAACACACCTCTGAAGCACTACAGAACTTACAAAAGGCTCATATTTCATTATTATAGTGCTTTTCTGAAACATCATTGCTAAAAAGTGTTGAAGAATATGGCAAGAAAATTAAACTTATCTCCTCTAGCTTGTCTTAAAGTTCCAGACAAACACGCCGATGACTTATTAACATTCTCTATTACGTTCTGTAGTAGCATAGTAGTTTTCATGACATGCTTATTTTTGATTTCATCATGGTCTGTTATATAAATGAACAGATTTCCTAAAGTAACTCCATGATGTTAAATATTTTTATCTGTGAGGATTGAACTGAAAATTTTCTATACCGTAGAAGGTATCGATGGACAGAAAATTTCATAGGACTACAAACTATATATTGGTTTTATACACTAATTGAATTTTCGTTGCACATAGAAATAATGAACTACCTCCAAATGTACTTTTTTTTTATCTCTTATCTTCCTACAAACGGTATGGTCTAAATAATAAGAGATGAAAATACATAACATAAATTGAATTGATATAACCTGATATCGAAGTGATTTAATAAAATATATTTAGAATATTTGGACGAATATTCACACAATACAAAATATTTTAATACATATTCCATGATAGATATCGTAATTGGTACCAGTAAAAATGGTTCAGCATCGAAAAGCTCGAAAAATGTACTCATCAGCAATGAAAATTCCACCGAACAAGATCGGACTAGTTGTTTATCGATACTTACCCTGACTTAAAGCCCCACTCGCACCCATATCTTTCAATAGAATTCAATGAAAACTTGAGAGACTTGATGTTTCCGTGCATTCATTTCCATTGACAAAGGAGATATGCTTAAATAATTGATACTCACATTCATATTTATCGATTGACTATTGAAATTAATCAATGTAGTTGAAAAAGAAAAGAAAACTGTTTGTGTATTAATGTATTTGCAAAAAGGCAGTACTATATATACTAAACATACATTGGTGACTATGAAGGTTCAGCTAAAGATTAAAGATAGAAAAATAAAAACATAGTGAAACAATATTCAAGTGAGCTTGAAACCGATTAAATCTTAAGTAGAAAAGTTTGACCTTGATTTAATTTGAGGTAATGGTTAAATTTTATATGGATTTATCCTATAATAAGTTTGAAATAGCTATTTCTCCATGTTTTTTATCATTTTTACTGTTCATCGAAAATGTTCATGAAGCCTATCCAACCATTGGATAAATCAGCAAGATCGTCATCCGATTAGTATTTTTTAATTCTACTCGCTAGCAACAACATCTTTCTTGCATTTGTTGTTAGTTATTTTTGTTCCAGTTCTCATTGTTATCGTAATAGTTGACATAATTATCTACACATACTTCATTATTATAATGGTTTTAAGATGTCAGTTTTGGTTGTTTATCCTTATCATGGTTATCCCTTTCATCACAAATCTTATGATCACGTTCCACGGTTGGAAGGACTGAACTAAATTAGTAAAGAAAAATTTGCATGGCTAGATTGTGATTTTACAAAGACTCTTACCGCTGTTGTGATAAACACATCTAATTCTAAGGAACTACATTCTGGTATTCATACATCTGAACGTAATGATGATGAGTATACCTGATATGCTCTTGGAGAGTTCTCTCCCATACCTATGGAAAACAATGGTTTTATTAATGAAGTCTTTGGTTTTAAAAAAGCATTCTTACAGTGTGCAACTGTGTATTGTTTGATATACTGGCTCATCAGATTTAAAACCGATGGGGAAGAGATAATCAATGTTCCATTAATCATTACCAACATTATCTCGCTAGACAGGTAACATCACAATGGCATGTTTGATCATTGTAGAGATGTCTTGAGTCATTTTATTTCTTTTTATTTCGCTGAAACGGCGCACAAACATAATTGTACTATGTTTTTTTATTAAAACGCCTTCGTTAAAGATTAAAAAATACTCATTATATCATTCTTTCCAAAATAAAAGCAAGAATCCTAACATTAGCGATCAACAAACTGAAAACAGCACCTTGAACTAATTCGCTTTTATATATAACATTTGATCATAGCACGGAGAGCTCATGTTGCCTTCAAATGAGAAAAAATAAATATCATTCAACTATGATCTTGAACAATAATCTTCATCCATTATATGTTAGTATAGGGAGTTCGAATGGATAAATTATAGATTCGCACATATTCTCGTCATCCATATCATCTTTAAACTAATATAAAGAATTAAAATAAAAACAGCGAAATGAATTTTTTATAAATAAATTTACCGATTGATTCTCTTTCGTAATTTAAATAATAGTTTGCCAATAGAAGTAAACTATTAAAATTCTTCTTAAAATCATGTTCAATCTATTACATATATGGAACGTTTGATGTGTTTTATTTTTCTGAATAAAGCAACTGATTTATGTAGATACTGTCGATGATGACGGAACAATAAAGACCATGTTGGGGTGAAGTGTAGGTCCTTCTATAATGCTTCAAGTTCGGTATGTCGTGTACGAATGGCATATTTAGTCTGTTGTATTTCATCTTCTTGAAGTTTCTACTGGTATTGCTCTTCATTTATTGACAAAATATGAAATCGCATGTAGACTAAATCCAAACCATCCACAACACAGTGTCATCGAATAATTAGAAAACCTAATTTTGATCGACAGTCGTAATAAGCTAGTAGAACATGCGGATCGACGGCTTTTGTTTCATCTAATTAAAGAAATTGACACACTTCGCACAGGATTCGAATCTGGCTTGTGTCAACCACTCGACTATATATGCAGTAACTTTCATCTCATCTCTCTCACATGTTGTTCTTCTGACTCGTTAAATCTTGATTTTATTATGCAAAGACATACAAGAAAGTTAACTCCTAATGTGCTACTTTAAGAATTGATGGAACAAGTAAGCATGTTAATTATATAGGATCGATATTGTAAGATCATAAGCGAATTGACCTGGATTTATTAAGATAGAATCTGTCTTTCGTTCTTCAATTTTTCCATCGAAGACACTATCACTGACGCATAGTCGTAAATCTTTGAAGCTTATCATTTTTCTTATTGTTTCGGCTTGAAGATTGAGCTTCTTGTTGAGCTTTGTAATATGAACACCTAACACTAATTTTAAACTTTGGTGATGTTCCATCCGAAGACATGGCACAGTAGGTGTGATCCATGTATACAAATGGAATGTTGATATAAAACACATCAAGACGAAGAAAATGACAGATTGATAAATAGCAAGCCTAAATTGATGTGCTCTTGTCTTTGTATTCCCCGATATCAACATATATATCGTATTTAGAAATTACTTCTAAACAAAACGAACTATTATTAGAGTAACTTAACATAGAAAATTGTGAAACTATTCCATGTTTAGTTTTATAGTGATTATATCTCATTTATTGATGAGGCTGAGAAATGTTGGCATTATAGTAAAGCGTTTCTTACACAAGAATACTGTAGCTAATAGTAAATTTTAAATATTTTGTATTTGATTGTTAATTTTATTTCATCCTTTTATCCTATTATTTGATTGCTTTTCATATAATTTATTTAAATTAAAAGTAAAAATAATAAAATTTTATAGTTTCGCAATAAAAATAACATAAATTTAAATATTTTTTGCCGAATTCTTAGTCCTGCATCAATTTATGTGGATATTGCAACCAGACTAGATGCCCATTATCTATTTAGAATATATGTGTGTTTATATGATTTTTCCGTTCATCTTTCGATAGTTGAACGAAACAAGAATATGTGTGTTTTTTCGTCTTATATTATCATCTTGTCATGTTGTTCAATTATGAAGAAAAAGAAAGAAAAAGATAAATAGGCATGCATTGCAAACAGTAAATATAAATGGAACCATCTTGAAAGAGTCAAATGAACTCATGAATGAAAGAAATTTTCGAAACATGTGCATTATGGTATAACACAATGCGTAATGTTTTTTTGTCATTATATTATCATTGAAAAGCTAGTCAAATGAATTGACCGTCTAACATTGTAAATCAAACGCTGCCTTTCGAAACGTGAATAACAGTTTTAATAGTTGCATGTATATTATATCCATATTCTTTATTGATAAGTCCAATCAAATGAAAAAGCTCCGATTCCCTCCTACTTACTGGAGTCTTGTGGATTCTATCCAAGGTTAGTGTATTTGAAAAGATTTGCCAATATTAATGAGAAACACTGATACTGCTAATCTGAAATCATATCAGAGTTTGACTTAATCTAGAGTGAAAGAGCTTGCGTATAAGCGGCTTAGTATCCTATCAGTGTTTCGCTTTCAAGAGTTTCTCAATAGTAGAGTATGCGCACATGTTATTCAAGTAATGAAAGAGTATAAATGAGTGTGCTATGATATTGCAATACCGCTCGTATGGTATATCCTTTTGTGAAAAATCTCAGATTAGAGGTCTGTTATACCTTATGTGTAAACGCAGTACTATGCATCGCTTTTAATATAATGGCCAGCAAAATAAGAGGTTTTGTAATCCTTGGACTATTGAATTTATTGTATATTGAAGTATTCAAACATTTGAGTCTAGTTTCATTCTAATTAATTGTGAGTTCAATTTGAAAACAAATAGTTCAATCCAGAAACATCATGTAACATTAATACTGATGAAAGGAGATAAACTGTAAATAAACTATGATGTATCAAAATAAAATCATACTGCATAAAAAAAAGAATAAATACAGCTGGATGCCTTATCAAAATATAACATATGCTCAACACTTTGGTGTAATCTTTTCGAAATCTAACTTTTTTCTATTCCTCTTAACTTAAATGAATTAGAGTTTTTCCGATTTCATCAAGATACGTGTTGTGTCAGGAACTTATTCTATCATCATTCTCTGAGCGAGTCAATTTTATCACTACCTATCTTCTTTTTATGACATCTAAACAAGCTACAATATTCAGTAGGAAAAACAAGTCCTCTATTGCCTTCGAAAAAACCATGAAAAATGAACCACATTCTACTCTGTGTAAGTGAATTCCTTATTGGAATCATCTAATTGTGATCCAAACTGCATATTATGACGAGTCAAAAGAGAATTCAGAATTCTAGAAAAATTAACTAGTGCATTCGATTTAGTTGGCATATCTTGATCATTATCATCAGGTAGAATTATTTCAATTGTAAATTTATTCTAAACATGCTCTCAAATTGGACACATTCTTTTTGTACACGTACCCGGTTATCTTATGATTCTTAAAAGAGTTCTTTTGATCCCATGCAATTTAGTGTGCAAAATCTCTGAAATTAATATACACTGCTTGATTTCTAACTATTATTTGATTGAAGCTACAACAGAAAGATTAGATCCTAATCAAAGTATTGTATTCCGCTCGTAAGATAGATATCGAGAAATAGCTATAGCTGGCAACTCAAACAGAGATATACTTATCAATTCATAGTTCATTTATTCGATCATAAATTGCTGTTCAACTGATACGATAAGTCGTAAATCACCACAGAAAAATATAATTGTGGCCTATGATGAAGTCGAAGGACCAGCATGTTAAAACGTCTGTCTAAGTTTGTGAGGAGTGTGCTAGGTTTCTCGTAAAATTCTTCAACGCTGATTAACGATCATGTATCACAAAGCATTTCTATACGATAGAGCGTCATCGACTTAATCGTTTGAGTTGATAATGGCAGCTACCTCATCTGTCTCATGTACGGTCCTCCTCTGCTCACTTATTCACCCATACTCACAACTTATCTTCTCCTATATACGTCAGTTGAGATAAACAAACGACGATTAACGCTTACAACTTAAATCAATAGATAATACGCTCATTATTCAAAGGCACTTCACAAGTCAAATACTCTTGAATAATAGTTTCGAGTATTTGATGTGAGGATAAAGTCTTATCGGAGATTCATAAATAGACAGCGTAGTTCATTCTTCTTCAAGATACACACGATCATGTTACGATTAACAATCTTTTTCTTACTTATATGGATTGGTCACGCGAAAGAATCAGTACTGTCCTCTCAAGAATTAGTTGATCTCATACTTGCAAATGAGCCTGATAAACTGGCTGCACTCGATGACTATTCTCTACTTTCAAACTTGTTTGATTACTACCAAATTCAGCACCATTCACGTCGTCCTATGCTCAAGTCGGATTTAGAGAAAGACATGCGTATGGAAAATTTTAGAGAAACTTTAAAATTTATCATTAAGACGAATTCGGACGAAGAAAACACATTCAAATTGAGTTTGAATGAATTCAGCGATTGGACACAGGCTGAACTCCGTCACCATACAGGTTTAATTCCAGACAACAGCGAGCATAGTATATCGCGCTTAGATACAAATCCGGTACCAGATGCTGAGAATTTCTATCCTCTAAACAATCGAAGTGATGATTCGTGGGATTGGACAGAACATGGCATCATAAGTCCAGTAAAAAATCAAGGTCAATGTGGAGGTTGCTATGCATTCGCATTTGTCGGCGTACTAGAATCGAATTATGCAATTCGACATAAGATATTGGTGAATATGAGTGAGCAGGAGTTCATCGACTGCACAGCAACATTCGGCTGTAAAGGCGGTAATTTCATCCCATGCTACAACTATGTGAAGACCAAGAATTGGCGTACTCAAAGAGCAACTCACTATCCATACATGGCCGTCAACGGTCAATGTCAATTACACCAGTCTATGCCAGTTCATATTGGTGAAAAGTTATACAAGCGTGCACCAACAAACGATGAAGTTGCACTCAAAACACTTTTGCGTAAACATGGACCTATGTTCATAGCATTCAATGTTGGCAATCAAAAGAGTGCATCATCACTTCAAATTGATATATCGAAAATATTTAATTCATACTCGTCGGGCATTTTCGACGTACCTGGTTGCAATGAGAGACCGCTACAAAATCATGCTATGCTCTTAGTCGGTTACGGACATGATAAAATAACTGGTTTAGATTATTGGAAAGTGAAAAATTCATGGAGCACTCGGTGGGGAGAGAATGGATTTATTCGTATACGAAGGGGTGTGAACATGGGTGGAATCGCCACGAATGCTTATTACATTGGATCTCTTTCATTGTCCTAAATCAGAAACTAAGTATAATCAAATGTTTCTCAAACCACAGCTTTTACTTTAAATAAAATTTGCATCGGCTATGTGATTTGAATTAATATGTCTAAGTGAGTAAGTAGGGTATATCAGCAGCTGATTTACTTGATCCTAGACTGAAAGAATTCAATGGTAGTCGAAATAATTCCAAAATGATCAAAACCTTTCTGCATAATGGAAACTAAATTAAAATATGAAATGCGCTACAGATGTTCTACTCGTAAACGAAAGCCATATCCACATCAGTTATTTTGTTTGCGAAACCGAGGCCTACAAAACGATTTGAGTACCGTTTTTAGACTATCCCTTAGTGTGGAAAACCAAAAAGAAAAAAAAAGCAAAATGTTCCTACCGAGTAAGGTTTCAAGATATTAAGAAGATTCAAAATTAGAAAATCTTCCATTACTGTTGACCAGATTCTATCCTTTCAGTTCAGAGAATAGTATCGGAAACCAAAGCAAATTTCTTCAAGTTTCATTTATAATAATAGCTGAACTAAACAGAGCAGAGTTCATTAGGCCGTTGAACAGATTTATTATAATAGAAAAAGATATATATGGGGTATATAGGAGTATGGATTTGGAGTGTAGTGCTTCTCTTTAGCTATACCTACACTCTGATTTCCGTAGCTTTAAAAACTAGAGAAATTTACTTATTTTTCTTAAATTTGTCTGTACATGATCACGATTTACAGCTTCTAACTTAAGGAAACAGAAACGTTTTGTCAAAAACTTCTGTCAAGTGATCAGATTTTCTAGAAATCTGAACAAAAAAGAAAAAGAGATCTTGAACTTGATTTACCAAGAACCTATTTTGAAGACTAGAGGTCTTAAATTTCGTTGTAAATGAGTGAACATCTAGAGAAAGATCAAAAAATCAAAATAGTCTATTCGTTTTTTGTCAAGTTACTAAAGAATACATCATGATTCTAACGACAACAAATTTTTTTTTAAACTAAATGTAATCAGAAAACACCTTTACTAGAAACTCTATGATCCTATGAGTCCACAGTGAGTCTACATAGAAACATGTATAAAATAATATCTTTTCATTTCCAGTGTCACGTTGGTAACTCTAGTTTTTTTAATCTGAATTCTTTCAAAAAACGATCGATAAGGCTCAATCTTTCAGAGCATCTATATAACAACTCAAGAAAAACTGAATGTTCAGACATACAGGTGATTTTATTCTGAGAAATCATCTTGCTAACGAATGAAATGGTTCTTGTAACGACAGTGAACATTGATAAACTACTAAAAAGCAAAATCGGATGATTTTTTCCAACTATAAACTTCGAGCTCGAACTGCTCTCTGACTGATAGAAAATAAAAATCCAGATGTGTTTCTAATAAGACTTGGTCAAATATTGTTAATAACTAACATATATTTCACCAAAATATATTCGTCTTTGTCCCTGAAGCAGAATTGTATCGAAAAGTGATTTCTTCTTAATACTAGTTTTAGTAGATAACGGACATTTTAAATTCTTTTGCTGAACAAAAAAACTAGCAAACATAGCTATTCTAAATATAAACATATTATGATTTAGCTAGTTTTCTTTCAAAGTATCTTGCATTATTTACAATGTGTGTACCCATCAGTGGAGCTCTCATCTATAAATAAAAATTGTAAGCCAGATTCAGCTCATTTGAGATTGTTGAACTTTGTGAGACGTTACAAAAATAGACTGAACACTTGTGGAAAAATATAATTTCGAGGAAAATGAGCTCTATATTTTGGGTTTATGCAACTTCAAATTAATTTTAGAGATTTATTTACTCAATCGAGCCTAGCTCGTAAACGATGTTTCGATATGAAATTTATCTGTAGATTTAAATAGGAAGAATATAGTCAAGGTTTCAATGATTCTTCATTTTTCTTGCAAAAGATATGTCGTTCATATCTATGCTATTTCTCAAATACGTCTTTACTTTAAGACTACTCCTTAACAGTCAATTTTTCAATGTTATATCATCATATTTGCAGGAGATACTCAACTAAACAACGATCGAAAAATAGCTCATTTGGCAACCCGGATTTCTTTTTGGGTCTTCATTCTATATATTTTTAGCTTTTTTTTTTTTATTTGCCAAAGTATGCCAGATGGCAGTGCCTATGAAAAGCCCTTTCTCTATAAATGCTTACGTTTTAAGCAGAAAAAATGGTCGACAGGTTGCACATCTCGAAAAACTCTCAAAATATGTTGGTCTAATTGTAAAAGTATTACTTTATATAATAATAACAAAGTTTCTTTAGAAAAACTAGATCAAAAAAAACATATATTAAGAAAAAACGAAAACATTTGATACTTATTTTTTGTAAAAACAGCGTATTTTTCAAACGGGTGATGACAAATATCATCAAAAATTGCGACGAAAAAAAAAAAGAGGTAATGTTTAAAAAAAAACATGTCATTTATGAAGGATTAAATCTCTGATTAGTATCCTATGCATTTAATTCCGACTTTTTTGGATGAAAATTGACTTTTTTAACAAGAGTAGATATGACTTCAAAAACGATCAATATCTGAGCAACAAATATGATTGTTAACCTATTTCAAGATGAAAATCTTCGATATCAAAATCAAAATTTTCCTTTTGTTTCTTCTATGTTAATATTTAATATTTAAAATAAATTTCATATGTAAGATTAAATATTAATTCTATCAACTATAATTATACAAGAAATCGAGAAATAATAGTAGAATCAACATCAAATGAGAAAATTAATTTTATACAAAATTTCTATGAAAAAAATCAAAGCCAAAGTTCGAATCTGAACAAAAAAAAAAGATAATAATAAAAATTTTCATCCTGAATATATATGTTGAGGTCCGACTTGAGATAGATTAGAACCATGTTGGACTGTGATACATATAAACAGATTTCGAGCAACTTCAATAAGTGGAATGGATGCATCTTTAATCTCATGTCGAGATGATTAGAAATTGAAACGTGTGTTAGCATTCATCTAGATTTTCGATTCGCCAACGCTCACACTTTAGTGAATAATTTTTCTGTTTCAGCTCTACATTTCAGATATTCATGAGAAATAATATGGTGGCCAAAGATATAACATTTTGTACATGAAGTAGATAAGCAGAAAGACACAAGGTTTTCATCAAGATGAATTCATCCATTTGAAATACAATGACAATTAGTAATTCATCATATTGAACAATATTCAACGTATTTTTGTTTAATTCATCAAATGCCTAACAGTAACTCTCGTTATGTTCACATTTTACTTAAAACAAAACAAAAAGATTCTAACAATGATTGAAAATTGATATTGACAATTTAAATAATTTCTTTTCTTTTATCACTTTTTGATCATTAAAAGAACAAAAAAAACAAAATAAATAAATTCGAAAAAAAGAATGCGATTATTTTCTTTTATTTGAATCGTATTTTTATCATTCAAACAATAACAGAAGAAAAAAAAGAAGTTTACATTAGAATTAAGACTAATTCTTCTTATTCCAATAAGATTTTGATGATGGAAAAGATTATATTGAAAAATAAGCCCAATGAATAAAAGAGAAATCTTAATTATATCGCTCATATTCTGCTTCTATGAAAAACGAAAATGATAGATTTACATTCAACATCAGTTTAATATCTCGATATTCGATTATATGCTGCACATTCTAATCATGAAATAATAAAAACGCATTCGAAAAAAGTATAATTTCCATTACATTATAACCTTTCACTGAGTAAAAATTGAAAAATGATCCTTTCTTTTGATTAGAGTTTTTTTTCTTTATTATGCCATAAAAGTCTACTTCTATTGTTTTACACAAATAAAAAAAAACCAAACAATTAAAATTATATCTAATCTATCCTACAATTGAAGATTGTTTTGCTAATAAATCTCGAATTTCGTACAATACTTTAACTTCTTCAGTTGTTTCAAGTTGTATACCTTCTTCAGTTTGTTTTTTTCTCGTTGCAATATGATGTAATTTATTAATAGCTTTAATAACAAAGAACAATGCAAATGCCATAAGAAATAAAGATATTATTGTTTGAATAAATTTTCCATAACGAATAACAACTGGTGGTTGATTTTTGTAAACGAAATTTTTCATTTTAATTGTTAAGTTAACAAAATCAACACCACCCAAAATAAGACCAAATGGGGGTGTAATAATATCGTCGACAAGTGATTGAATGACATTCGTAAATGCTGTACCAATAATAATACCAATAGCTAAATCTACTACATTGCCTCGAAGAGCAAATCTATGAAATTCAAAAAAAAAAACAACATATACAATGAAAAACTAAAGTATGAATAAGAACGGATAGATAAAATATTCTACTCGTCAATGTTAATATTCTATTTGAGATTTTTCTCATACAACATTATATTTTTATAATTCTCTTTTTGTTATACATGTCTTAAACTACTCTCTCTCTCGTCAATTCTCGATGTATTTGACTGTCAAAATCAACTCTCATGCTTCATGTTTATCTTATTTGATTTTTTTTTCAGTATATTGATTTAATTACTATCTTCATAAAGTTACTTGTGTAATCAGCACAATATTCTTTTAGGTTCGATCATGAATAAAACTATAATACAATAAATAAAATATGAATACATACGTTCTAAATTCTTTACAAAAATTTCGACAGCATCGACAAGCACGAGCCATATGATTCAATGTTAAGATTGTATGTTGGGAGTGTTAGGTTTTATTACATAACTATGTAAGAATGATAAGGAAAGAATAATGTTCAATGCCAACTATTCAATATGATAAAGAATATAAGTTAAATTATGCAAGAAAACAGGCAAATACCTTTCATGTTAAAATATTATAGATACAATATTTCGTTTTTGATAATAGAATGACAAAGAAATTCAACTTTGTATGTATGACTTAAGAGAAATGTGAAAAAAAAAACTATTCGTATTTTGATCGATACCGGCATGTATGTATGGAATTTCTTTTTCATCTTTTGCTTTTTATTCATTTGTACACTGCATTATGTTTGCTTTTGTATATTGAATTTGTTATACTTGAAGAATGTTCTGATGCAATATGAATTTTCAACATTTCAAACTGTTATAATCTAAATTTAAATATTCTATAGACTACTTTTGATTCTACAAGAAAAAGTTTTTCGAAATTTTTTTTTTATGAAAACAACCATGTTTACTAGAGATTTTAATTAATCCTAAAAGAAACTAAAGTACCAATGCTAGAATTAATAGAGAAATAATTGTTTTACAAAATTTTTCGTAACGAATGACAATGTATAGTTGATCTTTGTAAACAAAATTTTTCATTTTAATTGCTAGATTAATAACATTAACACCAACCGGAATAAGACTCTATGAAGATGTAATAATATATTATCGACAAGTATTTGAATTATAGTCATAAATGCTGTAAGAATAAGAGTGCGAATTAATGTAAAAATCAGAAATATTTTTTAATATGTTGATAGTTAAAAAGAACAATAAATAATTAGTCGATTAACTTTTTGAATTATTAAATAGATTTAATGAAGTTGAAATAGTAATTATTTTTTGATTGAATGGACATGTTTAATAGAATAAATTAAAATATATGTATATCATTATTATTTACTTGAAAAAAAATTAGTATCTATGTATTATTTTGAAACCTTTTTCATGCATTCGTGTGTAAGTGTTACGTTTGCTCGTATTTATATGTCGAGTATGAATGTACATGTGCCACAATATAATTTTTGTTGTATGACCAATGATAATCTTTAAAATATGAGGAGATGAGAATAGTATTAAATAAAAACAGGTACTACTGTATTCTATTTCTTATTCTCTAAATGATGATCATCTTCAATATACGTTGTGAGAAAATTTAGATAAAGTTCTTTATCAGTACTTTATTTAAACACGTAATAAGTGTATTAAGTTATTCTCAGTTCATTGTTTTACATCCATCGCTATTTTATCAGCACAAACGTTGTTCTGCTGTTTTCGTTCTTCTTCGTTATTTTATTAACGAGCTATACAAGAGAAACGAAAGAATATAAAGAAATAAAGCCAACGAAGGTAAAAAGAAAAATGCTTTCTACATTATTCAGACGGGTACAGTGAGCGATAATTTGTTGTTTGATATTACCACATCTTATTTATGGCATGAGTGTGACTTGAGGTTAAAAGTTGTACAAAAAAAACATCGATTTTAATTGTTTTTTTTCAATAAATGAAAAAAAAAAAACTTTAATCAATTTTCGTCGATGGACATCAATCATAATAAAATATTTTTCATTAAGTTCCAATCGATTATAGTCGGTGACAAAATGATGAAAAACTAATGTTAAGTTGATTTTTATTCTAGTTTCTTTTTTTTTATATGGAAAGTCTTGATTACGTTGGCTATTGGCTATAATTGAAAGTTATAACAATTTGAACATTAGACTGATTGATTCTAGTATGAAACTTTTAAGAACATACTTTTATTTCAAAACCGTATATGCTTAAAAAATGATTGTAATTTTTGCGTTTCATTCGTAGTTATTAGCATAGAAAAAAAACTCGTAATGTTGCAGAGCAAAATATCAATTTTATCTCAAATACTTATTATTATTCTTTCGATTCTCATCATGAGGGTAAGCATAACTGACGTGAGACTTTTCGAAAACAATATAAATCTGTTTCCTACGATTTGATTGTCCAATTGATAAATTGAAGAAAAGAGAATGTGAGTGAACTAGTTCAATATTATTTAAACAAATCTAATTTGATCTCTTTCTTTGGCATGAAATACTTATTAATATTGCATTCGATCTTATCTCTCTATGTGCCTAGTTTGCTCATGACAATGATTATGTCTGTGCTTATCATCATTAAGTACTTCGTTCATAACATACGATCTTGATTAATTTTGTTCTTCATGATAATCCTGTCTCGTTTCAACAGTCATCATCATCGAAGATTTCATTGTGAAGAAAATTTGTTAGTTTTTGGTTGAAATGATACAAGTTCACATAGAACATTTGTCAAGAACTTCTTGAAAGAACTAAACCAAGTAACAATAAAATTCTTCATTCAATCGAACAAACTGTCAATAAGCAATATAGACAGATTGACTTTAGTGTAAGATTCAAGTATTGAGCAATGAGAAAAATCGTTCCTGTTTATTCTATAAAATTTGTGTGTTCAATCAATCAATTTTTCATGAGCTATGTATAACGTCGAATCATATTTACATCTATTTCAATGCTCTTTTAGACATTATTGAGATTCAATACAATTCTGTTCGTTGAAGTAAAATTCGTTAGAAGAACGATTTCAAAATTCATTTTATGAAAAGTAATATTGAGCAAGACTATTAAAAGATTCACTGAAACACAGCAACGATGATGACTAATATTTCGACATTCATTCTTATAGAAAACTGATGTACAGAGATGAGAAATCAACAAAAAAACACTTCAAATAGATCAAAGTTGAGAATTATTCATTTTTTTATATATCATTTCTTTGCATTGTTTACTTTTCACAATGAGTACTATCACATCTAAAATCTTGCCTCTATGAATTATTTTATAAGGAAATTTCATTTTTTATTTTTGTAAGTTAACAAAAAGATTAGTAGAAATAACATATAGAATTAAAACTACGAGCATCTACAAGAGAATAAAATTAAACTTGACATTATACGCATACTAAATAAGCAAAATTTTTTTCGTTGTTAGTCATCCAATAACAAAAAAAAACTGGTATGCTATGCAATGTCTGATAAGACCGAAAAAAAAGCGAAGTCTCTTCTTAGTGAACACATCTTATAAAAGTAAGTATTAAAAAATCATTTATGAACATGTGTTCAGAAAGATGCTAACAGTATTATCATTAAAATTGGCTACAGCAAGATCCAGTTTTGCATCGCTATTGAAATAATCCATTATCAAAGACTGTGGATTGTTACCTGTTGTATATGTTATCTGATTTTGAAAGGTACCATCGCCATTTCCAAGAAGTACACTAATACTCTTACTAGCCGAATTAACTACAACGAGATCTATATTTGTATCATTGTTGAGAAAACCCGCGTCGATTTCGTTCGGGCTATTTTGTGTCGAATATGTTATCTGACTCTGAAAGGTTGCATCACCATTGCCTAGTAGCACACTTACACTATTACTTTGCTGGTTAACCACGGCTAGATCTATTTGTCCATCATTGTTAAAATCACTTGATATCAAAGCTATAGGCGACGTGCCTGTTGAATATGTTACCTGAGTTCGAAAAGTCCCATCACCATTCCCAACTAGCACGCCTACGTTGTTATCGCCCGAATTTGCAACAGCAAGATCAAGTATCACATCATTGTTGAAATAGTTGGTTATTACGAAGAATGGATTAGCACCTATCGTATACGATGTTGGATTTTGAAACGTGCCATCCCCGTTGCCTAGGAAAATGTTCACAGTACCATCAAGATAAGTAACAGCTAGATCTTGTCTATTATCTCCATTAAAATCACCTGATGTCACAAACGACGGAATTGCAGCGGTATTATAAGTTTGTGGCGCCTGAAATTGTCCATTACCATTGCCCAGTAGCGTATTGACAGTCTGAGAAGCGGCGTTTACTGTAACGAGATCCGGTATATTATCATTGTTGAAATCACCTGTTATTACAATGTCTGGATTTGTGCCAGCAGCAGAAGTAACCTGACTTTGGAAGGTCCCATCGCCATTACCAAGAAATACGCCGACATTGTCACTACCGGAATTGGCTACAGCCAAATCTACTCGTGTATCACTATTAAAATCACCTGATATGATGAAGTTTGGAGAGGATCCTGTTGTCAAAGTTGTCGGTGTTCCAAAAATATTGACACAGACCACTGCTGAAACAATACCACAATAAATGAATGCACAACACGAAAAAGGAATATTCAATCGGTATATTGAACTAGCATCAACAATAACTCATTTATGACGTATTTGCTTTTTGTTAAAATTAAATACAAAAATATAGAGTAGAATTACAATCAAACTTTCATCTTCACTCTATTTTTAGGGAATAGTGTTAACCAACGTATAGATGCCCATTAAAAGATAGAGCATCGACAGCTTAAAAAAAAATGAACTGTTTAAATTATTACAAATCATATATTTACTGAAGTTTTATTGTTCAGCATGGATGGAAAAGGTCATAATTTATGAGTCCATAATGGTCAAGGGTTGATATTATATCTGCTGTCGTTTGTTTTTGAAATAAAAAAATACCAGGCTGAATTAATTTATACATAATATGACTTTTTATTCTTTATTAAACGGTAAAAAAAAATATGAAAAAAGAAAGTTTATAGTTGGGACGAAACGGAGTTCGCATCTTTCTTTTACATTGTGGTTTTTGATGATTGTTCAAAAGAAAAAAAAACACATTTATAGCAGTTTTCATTGGTATGATACGGTTGTAAAATAATATAACTGTGACATTCAAAATCAACGTCTAAAACTATATTGATTCACAAACATATTAGAGAATTTTTTCCTATAAAAAATAACTCCTGGAAGATCACAAAGTCGAACTTCAGTAAAATACAGTTACGGGGGACTACAGTTGATTTTTTCATAGGAAAATTTTTTTCCAAAAAATGCTCTAGACTCAATATAGTTTTTGACGTTGACATCGAATATCACTATGAAG